TATAGAAGGAGCTCAATAAAATATGAATTGAAGGCAGGACAGAAAAGAAGCCTCTTCTATGTTGATGGAAGAGGTTTTCCTCGCCTTATGCAAGTTTATTTCTTCCTTCACCTGTGCATGCCCTTCTGTCTTATTATTATTTATTTAGTATTGACTGATGTGCTGGGGTTGAACTCAGGCCCTCCCGCTTGGTATGCACATGCTGTACCACTGAGCTACCCGCCCGCCCCCGTGTCTTTCATATTCAGCCTTTCCTTTCTATACCTGCAGCCTCTCCCTCTCAAGCTCACTGGTGCTCCCTAGGCGCCCAATCTTCCTGGCTCAGTAGGAGCCTCCTCTGCTCCACTGTCCCACTAGACTGATATTTCCAGATGAAGAAAACCTGGGAGAGCAGACAGAGGCGGGCAGACTTTTCAGACACAGAACATGTTACAAGTAAAAGAGCAACAGGAGTTCTGCCTGTGTTACTAAAAGCTTTGGGACTTCCGCACAGGCAGCCTGCACCCTAAAGCTCAAATAAAACAGTTCTCTCTAAGCACCTTCTGAATGCCAGGCTGTGAATGTGTGTGCAGGATTCGGGCACAGAGCGATAAAATCATTCACCGTATATATCAGATGCTGTTCTGACTGCGTTACACACATACTCCTTCCCCTAACGTTCCAAACCACTGTCTGGCAGAGGTTCTATCCTTCTCTGTTCCAGACAAGGAAACAAGACACACAGTAAGGTCAAGCAAGTGGCAAAATTAGGATTCAAACCTAACTAGTCTAACTTCACGGTCCTGGCTTTTCCCCGCGCTGCTACCTTAGCGATGAGCCCTGCTGGGAAGCACACCTAGGCTGAGGGAAAGGACAGAGAAGAGTCTTGTTCAGCAAAGGAGAGCCGATAGACCTTGGTCACTGGTGGGGAGGAGGGGAGAGGAAAGGGATTCTAGCATGAGTGATGGATGGTTCCACCACCCATCCAGACAGAGAGCACAGGAGGAGGCAGAGGACGTGATTTTTAAGGTCAGTAGCTAACAACCTTTTTCCTCCCCCAAGTTCAGAGTCGATGGGATAGAATGTAAGAGTCAGGTGGAAGGGGACCAAAATGTGACCTTTAAATTTTTGTTATTAGTCCATATTTGTAATACGTAATGAATGCATTTGTTGGGAAGTTGGTACATGTACATCCACACCTTAATCTTTTTTACGTCCCCTTCCCCTCCTTCCCTCCATCTCTAGATCTTTTCTCCTTTCACAAAAGGTTTATCTTCCTGTTTTCTCTTTATCTTTTATTTTGCTCTGTATTTATACTTTGGATTTCTCATATAGGAAAAACTATGTGATATTTAAGCTTCTGTGTCTGATTTACTTCATTAAGCCTTGTGGTCCCAAGTTGCATCCACTTTCCTACAAATGATCCAATTGTATCCTTCTTTACGGCTGAGTAGTATTCCATGGTGTATGGATATACCACATTTTCTCTGTTCATTTATCTGTTGATGGACATACAGGCCAGTTCCAACCAAGATTTACCCATTATGAGTTGTGCTGCTATAAACACGGGTATGGATATATTACTGTAATACAATGTATTTAATTCTTTCAGAAAGATAATGGAGAAGACGACTAGCTTGGTTGAATGGAATTTCTAATTTTAGTTTTTTGAGGAATCTCCATATTGATTTTCTTATGGTTGTACTAGTCTACAGTCCTACCAGCAATGCAAAAATGTCCTTTTTCCCTCACAGCCTTGCCAGCATTTGTTGTTTTTTTGAGTTCTTGATGTTAAAGCTCTCTTTCTAGGGTTAGGGAATCTCAGTTTTGCTTTAATTTGCATTTCTCACATGGCCAAAGATGTTGAACATTTTTTTCCTGTAATTTTCAGCCACTTACTCTTCCGAGAAGTATGTCTATTCATTTCAATTGCCTGCTTTTTGATTGGGTCTTTTATTGGGGGGGGGGGTTATAGGTTCTAGAATATTAGTCCTCTATCCAAGGAGTAGCTGGTAAAATTTTTTTCCTGTTCTATAGTTTGTCTCTTCACTATATTGATTGTTCTTTTGCTGTGCAGAGGCTTTTTAACTTCATATAATTCCATTTGTTGATTCTTTTTGCTATTTCTTGTCCAACTGGGGTTCTTTTGCATGTGGATAACCAATTTTCCCAGAACCGTTCATTGAAGAGGCCCCCTTTTCTGAAGCATATATGCTTTTGGTTCCTTTGTCAAAGATCAGGTGTCTGAGTATGCCTGGATTTCTTTCTGCATCCTTTAATATGATCTTTTTGGGGTTGGGGATGTGGCTCAGTGGTAGTGTTCTTTTTTTGTTTTTGTTTTTGTTTTTTGTTTTTTTAATCCGGTACCGGGAATTGAACTCATGACCTTGCTCTTGCCTGGCAGGCGCTGTGCCACTGAGCTAAATCCCCAGCCCCAGTGGTAGAGTTCTTGCCACATAGGCACAAGGCCCTGGGTTCAATTCCCAGCTCCACCAAAGGAAAGCCCCCCCGCCAAAAAAAACCTTTTTGATTATGCTTAGAGTAACCATGGTTACATGTTTGCTGCCAAATGAACTCAGTAATGTTTCAGCCCTTAATAAGATTTATTCAGCAGGTTCCAAGCACAGCTGTAGATGAGAAAACAAACTCTTCTGGGTTTTGATGTTAAAATTCGAACAGGCCAACTAAAAAAAAAAAAGAGGAATCCAGAAGGTGTAATGGATGCTTCTGCTGACTCTTAGATGCAAGTCAGACCACATGCCAGAAGTTCATCAAGCAGAAAATTCCCACATGGGAACTTTCAGAATAGGGAATAAATAGTGTCTCTTTTAGCATCTCTGAATATTTATATTATATTATTGTATTATATATACAAACATTAATCCTTGAAGTAGGGAAAAAGTCGAATCCAATCCCAAATTTATTTTTTAAAAATGTGCTGTTTGAGATGAGCAATAATGTGGCAGAAAGATGGGTTCAAACTTGCTTTCAAGAAACTCTTAGAGGGGATGCGGCTGTGTGTAGCTCAGTGATAAGGCTGAGAGGCCCTAGGTTCAGTTCCCAGTACCAAAACCAAAAACAAACCAGATGTGGCAGTGCATGCCTGTAATCCCAGCACTTGGGAGGCTGAGGCAGGAGGATCATTGTCTGAGGCCAGCCTGGGCCACAAAGTGAGCTCAAGACCAGCCTGAACTACATAGCAAGACCCTGTCTCAAAAAGACAAAAAAAAAAAAAAAAAAAAAAGTAAACCAAAACCAAAAACAGAAACTATAAACAACACAAAAAACTAGAAAAAAACCTAGACACTACTTAGCAAACATTCATGCCATTTTTAATCTTGAGAGTGTTCTAGAATTGAGATATAATGCTGAATAAAACACAAGTCATGTCTTAAAGCTCCAAAGTTAGAGGTAAAGGCAGATGTGTGAATAATTATGTGGTAAAAAAAAACAAAACACTAATAAAAATATACACAGAATGTCTTTTTACCCATGAGAGTAATTATGCTCATAGACAGGTGAGATTTCAAAAGAAAAGTTTGAACTGTCTCAAAGAGAGAATAGAAATTCAATGAAATATAATTGGAAAGTGTTTTGGTTTGGGCCAAAGTACTTTTTTTTCTTGTGTGCTGGAACCCTAGGCAAAAACTATGGTCTGTCCCCGGCCCTAACTACTGCTAGTGATGCTTCAGGATTAATTTCCCTCCTAATGAATGCACGCCTCTTCTGCCTCAGAGCTGAGTCAGCTAAATGTGTAATGAACTCTTCTTGTCAAAGAACAATGATTATATTTGTTAATACTCTGAATGGATCGACCCCTAAGGTGTAAAAATGAGCCTTTATCTCAAATAATATCACTGAGGCAGTTCTCCGCATCATTTTCCCCTCAAATATAACATATTCTTTTCTGTTTTTTTCTTTTTCCTTCTGTACAAAAATATGCATTTTCTGCTTTTTTCTTTTTCTTCCCCTTTGATTAGCTTCCATGATTTAGCTCTCCCTCTTGTCGTTTTGCTTATCAAAATATACATTTTTTTTTTTTTTTGGTACCAGGAGTTGAACTCAGGACCTTGCGCTTGCCAGGCAGGCGCTGTGCTGCTGAGCTAAATCCCTGGCCCCTGTGTTTTTGTTTTTGAGAGTAGGACCTCACTATATAGTTCAGGCTGACCTTGAACTTACCATGTGGCCCATGCTGGCCTCAAACTTGAAGTGATCCCTCCTGAGTGCTGGGACTACGGGGTGTGCACCGCTATGCCTGACCTCAAAATATACAATTTAAGTACAATCTAAAGTATACTTGCTATTTATTTATTTATTTTTTTGGTTTTTTGAGACGGGGTCTTACTATGACGTTCAATCTGGCTTTGAACTCGATATGTAGCCAAGGCTGGCCTCAAACTGGAATAAGTTTTCTGCCTGCCTCAGCCTCTCAACAGCTGGGATTACAGGCGTGCACCACCACAACTAGCTGAAATTCTTTTCTCTAACTGCAACAATGCTAGGAAATCTTCCTAGTGTATAGCTCTGTCCATATCTAAAATCCTGTACAACTGACCATAACATTTAATTTCAGTAAGACCTATATATTTATATATTTGTATATACTATATATATAGGAAGTACTAAGTGATGGTACTAAGAATAGTGTGGGAGTGATTTTTTGATTTGGACAATTTACCCCTCCTTTCCCTCAACTACAGAACTACGTAAATACATCATCCTGCACCCTGAGATCTTTATCCCCAAGGCCTTCGTTTTGAGAGATTTTATAGCTATCCCATACAGTTCTACAACAAATTACGCACAAAAAAATGATTTGATGAAATTGATGTACGGAAGGGATGGTTACAGATGAACTCTTCTTTACAAAGGATTTGTTTTGTAATAGAAGAGCGTGTTTTAGAAGAGCGTGTTTTGTTTTAGAAGAGCGTGTTTCCTTCAGTATATTCCAAATAATCTGAACTTTTCAGAAATGCCTCTTCTGGGTAAATAAAATTGTCCTTCTCCCCTTTGTCCAACAGATGCAAATACCCTAATGTAGTATCTCACAGCCAGTTGTTTGCTTACCTCCGTTTGGCTAGCGACACTTCAGCCTGGGCTTTGTGTGAAAGGAGAGAGCCTGGTCGGGAGAGCAGAGCCATCCTCCCTGCAACGACATCGCTCTCCTTCTGGTACCGCCATCTCTTAAGTGGGGAAGCGAACATGCCTCTTGCTCTAGCAAAAAGCGGAAAGGATCAAGAAGACAAATTAAATATGTCATTTACTCTCAGTGAAAGAGAACTTAACAGCGAGGTCCCTGTAAGAAAACCACTCCCTAACAGAGACATTGTTCAGGATGACAAGTTTGAAGATGCCTACGAAATTATCCCCGTGGCAACCACAATGAACCTAGTCTCTTCCTTGGAAGAGTGTACAACTGCATTGTACTTGTTTCTGAATAACAAGTTCTCAGATGCCATCAACCTCATTCACCCGTGGTCTAAAAACAGTATATACCACGCCCTAATGTACAGTATGCTTATGGTTGTCAAGGCCATCCTGACTTTTGAGCCGCAAGATATACGGATTGGGATGGCTGCCGCGAAGGAAGCTTTGAAAACCTGTAACAACTTCCGAAAAAAGCCAAGGATAATGTCCTTATCTCACATAGTGAGCAGACAGGGAATAAACGTCGTTACGGAAGAAGAGCTGCACGCCGAGGTCTGCTACGCGGAGTGTTTGATCTTAAAAGCTGCCATAACGTTCATACAGGATGACAGTTTGCTTGGTTTTCTTAAAAGTGGGATAAATATTGGGTTAAGTTACCAAATATACAAAGACTGTCAACAGGTAGTGACGTACATGTCTAAGAACCAAAGCAAATCCCACAGGCACCTGGTGGGAGGAATCAAATTTGGACTTGGAGTATTCAACTTGATGCTGTCACTTGTTCCACCAAAGACACTTAAGCTTCTCAATATTGTTGGGTATTCTGGTGACAGAGAGGCAGGCTTGGCTTTGCTTCATGAGAGCACGTCTGAACCCCATATCAATAATATTTTAAGTGTTTTGACGCTACTCTTTTATCACAATTACATTTACGTGGCTTTCGGTGTTGAAAATGTTTCCAATTCCACTACAGATAATCTCCTCCTCACTTACCTCAAGAAGTTTCCAAACTGTGTTGTGCTTAATTTTTTCCAAGCGCGCCTCAGTATGTTGAGAGGAAATTTTGAAAAGGCACTGCTAACATTACAGTACTGTATTTATATTCAGAATGAGTGGAAGCAGGTCCATCACCTCTGTTACTGGGAACTCATGTGGTGCCACATCTTCCTGCAGAACTGGAGGCAGGCTTACCACTGCGCCCACCTGTTGTACCTGCACAGCAGGTGGTCCAAGGCCACCTATGTGTACGGCAAAGCTGTAATACTGGCTTTGCTTCCTTCTGATTTTGTGAAGTCAGTGAAAGAGGACATTAACTCTCTCTTCTTAAACGTGGATAGCCTGAGAATCAAAATTTTAGGCACACCCGTGCCAGTAGAACAGTTCATTGCCGAGAAAGGTCAGCGCTACGCTACTACTACAGGCTGGTTTACAGCCCAGCCCCTGCTGGAATTCATTTACGCCTGGAGCGGATTCCGAATCATGAGCAAGAGGCTAGAGCTTATTTCAAGCTGGCTCTCAATCATCGACAGAGGGAAAAACCTTCTGCAAGCGAAACTAGACGAGGAGTATGGCACAGACGACCTAACTTTATTATATCTGCTGAAAGGCCTGTGCCTGAAGTACTTGGGCAAATATGTGAAGGCGGAGCACTACTTCAACCGTGTTATTCAGAAGGAGAAATCGTTAAAATACGACCACTACTTGGTACCGTACACCTACTACGAACTGGGAATTCTGTACTACCTGAGAGGAGATTATGCCAATGCAGCGAAAAACCTAGACCACATAAAGAACTACAAAGACTACCCCATGGAAGCCCGGTTACACTTCCGGGCTCATATAGCCCTGGAGCAAATAGCCAAAGAAAAGTGATGCAAACGCAAAGTGTGCTTGTGTTTAATATGAGTGGAATAGCTACAATCAGAAAGATAATAAGCAGGTAGAAAAATCATTTCTTTGTGGAAAAAAAAATTCACAAGGCGCTGTTAAACATCTGATCAGTAGCAAGTAAGAAAGGAACTGGCCATTTCATCCCCCTTCCCTTTTCCTTGCCTATAAAACACATGGCTTAGACTGGTAAATGGAGTGATGTGTGTTTTTTTAAAGAGAAAAGACAAATCGTGTACATTCCAAAACATTTTCTTTTATAAGCTGTGAGTTTATTAATGTTTTCAAAACCTCAATTAAAAAAACCTGGGCATAGTGGCACACACCTGTAATCCCAGTACTTGGGAGGCTGAGGCAGGAAGATCACTGGTAGTTTGAGGCCAGCCTGGGCTGCATAGTGAGTTCAAGGCTGGCGCAAACTACACAGCTAGACCCTGTGTTAAAAACAAATAAACAAAAACAAAACAAGGCAAACCCTCTATTGGTAACTTTTAATATCTAGACAGCTAGACCCTGTTTTAAAAACAAATAAACAAAAACAAAACAAGGCAAACCCTCTATTGGTAATTTTTAATATTCCATTAGATAATGTATACAATTCATGAATAAAAGGAAAAATAGCCGGGCGTGGTGGCTCACGCCTGTAATCCCAGCACTTGGGAAGCTGAGGCAGGAGGATCGCTGCAAGTTTGAGGCCAGCCTGGGATACAAAGTGAGCTCAAGGCCAGCCTAACCCACATAGTGAGACCCTGTCTCAAAAAAGAAATAAATAAATAAAAGGAAAAATAGCTACACTAAGGATCATAGTGCCCTATAAATATTTTTCTTATGTTAGGAAAATGACTTCAAGGTCATGGTATACTGACTAGTTTTCCCAAATACACATTTTTTTTTTTTTTTTTTTTTTTTTGGAGACAGGGTCTCACTATGTAGCCCAGGCTGGCCTGAAACTCTCAGTAGGATCCTCCCAAGAATCTCAAGCGGTGGGATTACAGGTGTGCGCCACCATGCCCAGCTGCATTCATTTTTACTGACATATCAGAGATGATTTTTTTCTCTAGCATATCAGGAATATTTTCTTAACCTTTTTTCATGAGGGAACTTAAATTTGGGTTTATAATTTGTCCCAGGAGAGAAGGAAAGATCACCCCCCCATACACACACACACACACACACACACACACACACACACACGCACACACCCCTTTTAAAAGTTGGATCTAGTGGCACATGCTTGTAATCCCAGCACTCTGGAAGACTGAGGCAGGAGGCCTAGAAATTTAGTGATTTAGTGAGACCCGGTCTCAAAATGAAATGAATAAATAAGCAGAACTGAGGGTGTAGCTCAGGCCCTGGGTTCCATTCCCAGCACCACCACCACCACTGCAAATCCTCTGAAGATGGCTGTGGGAGGCCACAAAAGGCTAGATGGGGAGGGAGACAGGGCTAGACTGTTGGAGGAAGCATCTAATTACCAAATAACTTCCTTCCACGGTCCTCCCTAAGGGGTAATTGCTATTAAGACTGGCTCTTCAACACTTGCACCTATGCACTGTTGTCAGGCTAATCTGAGAATAAATGCTGCTCTATGAATAGCTTACTATTTCAACTGCCTGGAGGATAAAAATCAGTTCCCAGTACCTGGACCAATAAGTCTGGCTGACTATACCCCTGCCTCCTTTGTTTCTTTGTTTGTTTGTTTGAAATAGGGATCTTGCTATGGAGTCCAGGCTGGTTTTAACTCTCTGTGTAACCCAAGCTGGCCTTGAATTTGTGATCCTTCTGCCTTAGCCTTCTCCAAGTGCTGGTATTACAGCACCTTCAACGTCCTGCTTTCTTTTTTTTTTGTCTTGTTTTGTTTTTTGGCTTTTCTCCAGTACCGGGAACCAAACTCACGACCTTGAGCTTGCCAGGCAGGCGCTTTGCCGCTGAGCTAAATCCCCAGCCCCGTCCTACTTTCTTTTAGTCATCTTTTGAAAGAAGTTGCTGGGAAAGTTTGGCTTGCTAAAATACGTTAGCAGACCCATTATCTAAATGCTTTTGGTGGTGGGAGTAGTGGTGCACGCCTGTAACGCCAGCACTCTGGAGGCTGAGGCAGGAGAATTGCTGCGAGTTTAGGGCAGCCTAGGATATACACAGTGAGTTCAAGGCCAGCCTGAACTGCATAGTGAGACCCTGTCTCAAGCAAACACACACACACAAAATTAACTAAATGCTTTTGGTGTCTGTACAAACTATTTGGAGCACAATATGGAGCCAATAGTTCAGATTTAGTAGTAATGCTTTTACTAAACTTTCTTCAAAGTTAAACAATTTTAAGTGAAAAATTGTGTCTGATTATTCCCTACTATTTAATTAGCATGGTATCATGGGTAAGAGGGCAGGTTCTTGGCCTGATTTTTATTCTAGCTCGGTTATTAACTAGCTGTACGGCTATGGGCTTCTCTGCCTCAGTTTCCTTAGCTGTAAGACAGGGATAATAAGAGTCCCAATCTCATGGTTTTCATGTGTGAAGATAGAGCCAATAAACATTTATCATTATCACAATTACTACCAATATTAATAACTTGTTCTTTTTTTTTTTTTTTTTTTTGGTTTTTTTCCAATACCAGGAATTGAACTCACGACCTTGCGCTTGCCAGGCAGGCGCTGTGCCGCTAAGCTAAATCCCCAGCCCCTTATAACTTGTTCTTCAGGGCTGAGAATTTTCTTGGAAGAAGTAGAGGTTCCTTTGTTTTCTGCTTTTCCAATCTAAAATTTGACCTGTTAATTTGCCTTTTCTTTTCTCAGTTTATCTTGGTCACTAGTAAGTAACTCTGTACCCAAATTACAGTTTGCATTTTGTAAAAATATTCCTGCTTCTTCCAAAGAATCATAAAGTATTGAGTAAACAAATATATATTGAATGCTTATTATAGGGAGGAAGTGAATATAACACTGAGGATGTAAGATAAACAATCACCTTTGGGCTTTGTTAAGAAGGTAAGTTATTCCTATCACCATGTTTTGAAATTCTGTATCATTTTTATTGCTCTATGCTTTTTTTTGGCGGGGGGTGGGTGGAGGGACAGAGTCTCGCTATGGAGCTCAGACTGGCCTTGAGCTCACTTTGTTGCAGAGGCTGGTCTCAAACTCACAATGATCCTCCTGCCTCAGCCTCCCAAGTGCTGGGATTACAGGCTATGCTGTTTTGTTTATGTATTTGTTTTTGTTATTTTGGTTTTTTTTTTTAAATGAAAACCAAAATTTATATGTATATATAAGGAGAGCTGGAAAAGGTGTACTGCTGATGTCTGTGGTTTTTCAACAG